TAATGGAGTGTGCTTCGTTCTGCACGCACGATCGCAACAAGGCGCCGCGCAGTGAGGAGGCGCCAGGAAATGGAGAGCATGTCAGCGGTGGGATTTGAACCCACGAGTGCGAACACAGTAGAACTTGTGTCTACCTTAGACGGAATTAATTGCATATGTGCTCTCTCACCGCGTATTGTTGAGAATCAATGGGGACTTTCAGTAGGCAAGCCTGAGTAGCGCACGGTCTTTGATTGATCGTATCTTGGTCATGAGCGCTTGAACCTTGGCGAGCAGCGACTCGTCTGTCTTGATGTTGTCTTGGACCAAGAGATTGAAACGGTGGCTGGCGCATCTGACTAGCGGAATGAAGCCCGTCTATTGCTGATGTACTGATTGACAGGACAGCAGCAATCAACAGGGCGGCATTCCGCGACGACAAATGTACTGATTGACAGCACAGTTGATACCAACCATGACAACTACCGCGTCCCGTGGTTTGCCATACCGCGCGAGCGTGTCTGCTATGAAGTCGAACAGTCATTGCGCGCTGAGGTCCTTCTCATTGTCTAGAAGACAGAAGGCGAATAGGACAAACTCACGGCTTGTGCAGTCGAGATCGTCGTGCTAGGCGTCCGCTGTCGGTATCGCTGGTGCCGCGCCATTGTCGTAGACAGCAAAAATGCCAACAATGTGGCGACCACTGTCACTCCAACTTCCAATACGAGGTCAAACTTATCAGAGAGCGCAGCGGCAAGCTTAGCTTCAGCCTTGACGGCAACCAAACACCACTGTCACCTTGCAAAGGCTGGTGTTAAGCCGCGCTAACTTCCGCTCGACGAATGAGACAGATAGCCGCTCAATAACCAGCCAGTTGCGCCACCGAAAATTGTCACGGCTGCGAGTGTTGGCCACACGAAGCTGCTGAGGATTGCGGTGTCTGGCGGCTTCTTGGGTGTCCGCCTTGGAGGTGGGATGGTGGCGATTCAAATGATTGAGGAGGTTGGTGTAGCCGTGACTGCTGGGGTAGAACTTGCTGCACGTCGTGCACAGGTACCGGCCTGCCTATTTTTCGGTGAAAATAAGGGTGCAGATGTCCCTAGTGGAGAGCGGGATGGGGATGGACTTGAGAGGTGCTTGGTGGTGAAGGCTGCTGGCGAGAAAAGGTCTTGTTTGTAGACTGTAGAAGTCAGAATGACCTCGCAGACAACAAGCAAGACCACCCGCTCGTGTGAGCCACCGATCGCAATGAATGGTGGAGAAGCGCGATGGAAATTCGTTTCATTATTTATAAAAAAATCCATATTAAATGATATAATGAGAATGAATAATCCTGTAGTTTAATTCTAATGTATTCTGAAAATAACTATTACTTCGGTATCACTGGTTTTTGCATAGGCGACCGATAGCGCCCATGTTTTCTAAACGGGTTAGGTTTGACGTACACTTGGTTTACCGTAATCTCGGTGTTAACTGTCACCCCATGAGTGCAGCCTACCCCTGTTTAAGGAAAAACCTCATGTGCAAAATCTGGTGTGGACACATCAAATTAAAGGTAGCGACCTACAACGTCGTCATCCCAGGCCACCTCGCCCACAGCCGAGTCGACGCACGACAACGACTCGAGTATCTCTGCCAGCTCGTTGTTGATATTTGGCGCCTCACATACCGCTTGCTTCACCGCTTGCCCCACCGTGCGCTCATCGAATAGCAGGCGCACCCTCTTAAAGCCACCTTTTATTGTTGCTTTGCTAAGTCCATCCCTGCAGCACGTAGCCACTTGACCACTTGCGCGCGATCTGGAGCTTGCATCTAATAATCTTGCATTTATGCCCCGTTAAGTACGAATTAGGTCTTGACAAATGGCCAATAACAGCTGTTTTGCTGCTTCCACTAATGACTTGAATTTGTATGTGAGCGATTCGACCAACCACCTGCAAATTTAGACGAAAAGCACAATATAAATAGCAGGACGGCGCGACTAAACTGTATTCAACGATGATTCGGTAGGCGTATGGAACAGTTGGTATTCTATGAAAAGAAAAACAACGTTATTTAAAACGGTTTTTAAAGGTCTTTGTCATACTGAAGGCGTTTTTAACCTTTACATGTCCCGTGCTGAAGTTGAAGCCGATATTGAAAATGAGAAAGGCGATCGACTGACCATGCAGAGCTGCGTTCTGTCGCTACATGTATGGAGCTGCTTACGCTTCGTATTCTGGAAAAAGAAGATGATCAGGAATATCCCATGGAGTCGAAACCAGCGCCAACGCAGCATTTAGGACTCTTATTCGATGATCTCTGCCTCCGTGAGCTCATCTTGCACGTCACTGTTCTCGGTACCAGCAGTAGCCACTGTGGCACGTACTACGTGCTTCGAAACCATGTAAACTTCAAAAGGTTGGCGCTCGGGGCTCAACTCCAACTTCGCGACGGCGGAGTTGTGGGCAACAGCTAATTGTTCCTCGATTTTCCCTGCTCCCGTGCGGTTTTTAATCGCAGAGTGAATGTGCTCCGCCACTTTGTGGTGGCGCTCCACACCTGCAGTCGAGCCTGGAGCTGTGTACACTTTCAGCAATAGACCTGATTGTTGGAAGCATCTAGGGCTCCTAACGCAGTGGGAAGAACGACGCAAAAGATAGAGTGAGATTTAGAGTCTCGAGCGCGTCTCGAGCGCAGACTCGGCCTGTCCTAGCTTCTACCTACCGCCGATCGCAGCTGCCCGGTGCTCCAGATCCCTGGTCGGAGACCACTTCTCAACACTCCTCCTCATCGGCAGTGTCGAACAGCGAAACATATCTCCGCCATTGTTGTTTGTAGTCGGTCAACCCTCAGTGCAGCCCGAGAACGCCCCGCAGGACGGCCAACCTCGGCGCCTCGACCGCCTTGGTCATCAAGTCCGCCGACATTCGTTCGCCTTCGCGATATACCGGCTTCAGAACTCCCCGCTTCGTGTAATCCCCCACGAACTTGATCCGCACGTCGATGTGCTTCGCCTTCGCAGGCGCGCCCTCGCCGTCCAACTGCTTGAGCGCAGCCTGGTTGTCGCAGCGCATACTCATGGACGTTCCTTAACTCAAACGCGGTTGGTGTGTAAGAGTGGGTGTGTCAGTGATGAGAATCGTGGTGAGGCGTTAGAAGGCAGAGTAGTGTGTGAGCTGATGGTGTGGTGTT